TGCTGCTTGGCCTGCTGTGTTCATCCAGCCCTGCACCTTGTTGTCTCGGATTCTCCAGCATCTGCAGTTCCTACTATCTCTGATGAGATTTAGTAAGCCAGGTTTGTGGTCTCTCAATCCTTGAGAGCCATAAATACATGGCAGGTCAATGTTAATTATGCTCTAAGTCAAACTGTGCATCCAATCCATCTAGCACAAAAATATAGCAAAATTTATTTTTCTTCTACCTGGTGACCACTTAATAGAATTATTGTCTTGAGAACACACGCCCTTGCTTTTATTCCTGCATGGGATTTGGGTGTCACTGGCAAGGCTGGCATTTGTTGGCCCTCCTTGGGTGCCCAAGCACTGACTGGCCATTTCAGAGGGCAGTTAGTGAAATCACATACAAGTACAGAAATTGTTGGAGAAATCAGCATCTGTGGAGAGAAAGCAGAATTAATGTTTCAAGTCCAGAGACCGGTTTTGAACAAGGGTCAGCGGACTCGAAACATTAACTCAGTTTTTGCTCCACGGATGGTGCCAGGCCTGCCGAGTTTTCCCCAGCAATTTCTGTTCTTGTTTCAGATCTTCAGCATCTGCAGTTCTTTGTTTTATTTTAGCAAATCACATTTTTGCCAAGGTAAAGAGTCGATGCTTATTCCATGAGTGGTGATAATTCATTTTGGCTTAAAAAGTGATCCATTTTGAATAACGTTGTACTTTAAAATAAACACAGTTACAGATATTTAAATGATCTCTAAACTTTGCATACTAACTTACACGGCAATGACAGTCTCTAACATCTTTCATATGCTGGACTTCAACACAAACAAAGTCAAAAAGATCATACATTAGTGAAAATCCACTAAAGCAAATCACAGTCAGGACTGGAAGTCACCTTCAGGAACTTGGCATTGACTCTTTCTGGCACTTGTGTTAATCAAATAAAATCTGAAAGGCTGAGTACACCCATTTATGATTTAGAAATGAAAAATCTGACTCTTTATCTGAACCAAGTTATATAAAACACAAATAAACATCCATAATAAAACTGTATTATTGTAGTTTTACAAGCTCAAAAATCAAACTATTCTTTTCATATCGCAAAATTTTATCTGTATTGACTACATTGCTACAAAGGTTAAACAAAAATAAGCTGTCTTATTCCTTGTAGTAAAAAACTCATCTTAGGGCAATGGAAATAATATGTGCTCTTCAAGTGCACTTGTATTTATTATTCTCTTCTTTTACAGTGGAACGGACTCTGAGACATGGCACCATGTAACCGATAGCCCTCTGGCCTTGCCCAAATAATCACCTTTGTTTCCGAACTGTTTAAACATGGAAGGAGTTCCATAAAGAGCTCAACTATTTCCTTACTTGACATCTACGGATGTGTATTTTCTAGTCGGGGCCTCTGAATGACAAATCTTAACTCAAAACCCCCAATTCATTTTTATTTGTTTTACATGAATGCATCTTTTCTTGTGTGACCCAAATCCTTTACATTTTAATCATGTAGTTCCTGACCATCCCTTGCTTTAGATCCGAAAGCCCTGACCCAAAATGAAACACACTGCAATTCATAGCTGCTGTACACACTTCCCAATTCCATAACCAAGAAGCAAAACAGTCATAACATGCCAGTATCCTCAAGCCTTACGTTTGATTTCCTGGTGCTTATCGAAACCTCATTTATAAATTTATTAAGCGACTATCAATCAGGGATCATAAGGTTTGCCAGGGGTGGGAGGATATATTAGCATGGATAAAGGATCAGTCTACCTCTCACTTATCAGGGGTGAACTCCCCCTGCCACTTTTCTGCTCATTCCACCAACACATCCATGTAATTTTGGAGCTTACAGCTATCTATCCTCTACACTATCCAGTACGTGGCCAAATTTTGTGACATTTGCAAATTTCTCAAATGTACCCCCCAGGTTCAAGTCCAAAATGTTAATGTGTAAAAACAAACAACAGGGTCCCAACATCAAGCCCTGTGGAACACTAATTGAAACAGCTTTCCATTCTCAAGGGCAGCCAACAACCATTCCCTTTTTGTTCCCTGTTATTAAGCCAACTTTGGATACCCTGCATCCCGTGGCGTTTTTACTTTTTGACCAGTCTGCCAGTTGGGAGCTTGTCAAATGCCTTACTTAAATCTATGTAGACAATGTCCACTGCACCACCCTCATCAATCCTCCTCATCACTTCTTCAAAGAACTCAATCAAATTTTGAAGGCATGATCTTCCCTTCACAAAGCCATGCTGACTATCTCTGACTAGACCATACCTTTCTTACTAATGGTTTAATCAAACTTCTAAACAATTTGCCCACCACTGAAGGATAACTGGCCTATAAATTGTTTGGCATTTCTTTTTGTACCCTTTTTTAAGCAACAGAACCACATTTGTATTCTTCCAGTCCTCTGGTGAAGATTAGAAAATAATCCTCAGCACCTGTTATTTCCTCCCTGACCTCCTTCAGCATCCTAGGGAACAATCCCACTTCCTACAGACAAAGGGGGTGGCCATGGGTACCCGCATGGGCCCAAGCTATGCCTGCCTCTTTGTAGGTTACGTGGAACAATCCCTCTTCCGTTGCTACACTGGCCCTAAACCCCACCTCTTCCTCCGTTACATTGATGACTGTATCAGTGCCGCCTCGTGCACCCACGAGGAGCTCGAACAGTTCATCCACTTCACCAACACCTTCCACCCCAACCTTAAGTTCACCTGGACCATCTCTAATACCTGTCTCCTTCCTGGACCTCTCTGTCTCCATCTCCAGCAACCACCTAGAAACCGATATCCATTTCAAGCCCACCGACTCCCACAGCTACCGAGACTATACCTCCTCCCACCTACCTTCCTGCAAAAATGCCATCCCCTATTCCCAATTCCTTCGCCTCCGCCGCATCTGCTCCCAGGATGAGGCATTCCACTCCCGTACATCTCAGATGTCCTCGTTTTTCATGGACCGCAACATCCCCCCCCACTCAGTGGTCGAGAACGCCCTCGACTGTGTCTCCTGCATTTCCCGCAACTCATCCCTCACACCCCCTCCCCGCAACAACCACCCAAACAAACAGAATCCCCCTCGTCCTCACGTACCACCCCACCAACCTCCGGATCCAACGCATCATCCTCCGACACTTCCGCCATCTGCAATCCAACCCACCAAAGACATTTTTCCCTCCCCACCCTTATCTGCTTTCCGGATGGACCACTCTCTCCATGACTCCCTTGTCTGCTCCACACTCTCCTCCAGCCCCACCTCACCCGGCACTTTTCCCTACAACCGCAGGAAGTGCTACACCTGCCCCTACACCACCCCCCTCACCCCCATCCCCATCCCAGATGTTCACCTGCACATCTGCTAATGTGGTATACTGCATCCGCTGTTCCCGTTGTAGCCTCCTCTACATCGGGGAAACCAAGCGAAGGCTTGGGGACCGCTTTGCAGAACACCTACGCTCGGTTCGCACTAAACAACTGCACCTCCCAGTCGTGAACCATTTCAACTCCCCCTCCCATTCCGCAGACGACCTGTCCATCCTGGGCCTCCTGCAGTGCCACAACGATGCTACCCGAAGGTTGCAGGAACAGCAACTCATATTCCGCTTGGGAACCCTGCAGCCCAATGGTATCAATGTGGACTTCACAAGCTTCAAAATCTCCCCTCCCCCGACCGCATCCCAAAACCAGCCCAGCTCTTCCCTGCCTCCCTAACCTGTCCTTCCTCCCAACAATCCCCTCATCCCACCTCAAGCCCCACCCCCCATCTCCTACCTACTAACCTCATCCCGCCCCCTTGACCTGTCCGTCCTCCCCAGACTGACCTATCTCCTCCCTACCTCCCCATCTACACTCACCTTTACTGGCTCCATCCCTGCCCCTTTGACCGGTCTGTCTCCTCTCCACCTATCTTCTCCTCTATCCATCTTCTATCTGCCTCCCCCTCTCTCTCTATTTATTTCAGATCCCCCTTCCCCTCCTCCATTTCTGAAGAAGGGTCTAGGCCCGAAACGTCAGCCTTCCTGCTCCTCTGATGCTGCTTGGCCTGCTGTGTTCATCCAGCTCTACATCGTGTTATAACAATCCATCCAGCCCTGTCCAGGATTCCAGCTGCTCCAATACGACTTCTTTTGTTATGTTTATTTTGTCCAATATTTTCACATTGTAACCCAAGAGGAGCAATATCCAAGTTCTGTCCCAAGTACACTTTTTTGTTTTTTTAGGTACACCAGCTGAAACAGCTTTCCACTCTGAAGGGCTGCCAACAAGCATTACCAGCAAAGCATGGGGTTAAACAGGGAATTCTCCATGTTGACTGCCTATGAGTACTGGAAAATGTCCACTCAACTATTTATACTATGTAATGACTTAAATACATTACTCACTTTTGTTGAAGTTATCTGATGGTAAAAAGCACAGTATATTGCAAGCTGTGAGGAAGACAAAGCTACAAAGAGATATAGATAGATAAGAGTGAGTAAAATACAGTGGCAGATAAACATTACATGGTGACGTGTTGAGCTATTCGCTATAGTTGTAAACAAGAAAAAGGTACGAAACCTGGTCAAAGCCAGAGGGTTGCGCAAGTTAGCATGCAGGTACAGCAAACAATTTAAGGGAGCAATTACATGCTGACCATCATTATATTAGAATTGGAAAATATGGCAGTTTTGCGACAATTCTACAGCATTATGGTGAGACCAAGCTGGAGTACTGTGTGCACTTTGAGATGCTATATTTACTGAATGTATAGTGGTCCAGTGATGACAGGGTGTCATAAACTGATAGGCTGAAATAAATGGGGTTTATATTCTCTGGAGTTTAGAAGAATGAGAGGTGATCTCATTGAAACGTACACATTTCTGAAAGGGGCTTACAAGGTCGACACAGTTGTTTGCCTGGCTGAGAAATTTAGAACACATGAAGAGAGTCTCAGTTAAGACTGAGATTAGGAGGAAACTTCTTCAGTCAGGCTAAAAATCTTTGGAATTCTCTGCATGAGGGTTTTGGATGCCTCACCATTGAATATATTTGATGGTGAGACACAGACTTTTAGTCTTTTGGAATCAAAGGGATATGGGGTGAGACTGGGAAAGTTGAGTTGACATTGAAGATCAGCTCAGATTGCATTCAATAGAGGAGCGGATATGATGGGCTGAATAGTCCACTTCTGCTCCTATTTTGTATATTTTAATCCTCTTACACCACATGAACCCCACACACTCCCTAATGATAAACATACATACAAAAACCTTGAAATCTCTTCCCATAGCTTCAAACTATTATTTCAATTCATGTGGTCACTGAGTAGCAATGAACAAAAATATAAATTTTCTTGACACACGAGCACAAGGCTACAAGAGTCCATATGATAGTTAGCTTTACTCCCCAACTTCTTGGTTTTTAACTAATGTGCATTGACTTCAATCCCTTATGCAATGACAGTTCAATGCAAAAAATGCCCTATGATCTGTTTCCAGTCACCTAATAGTCCACCGGCTAACAGTTAAGTATCAAACATCTCGGCGGTAAACACTCACCCTATTCTTCCTTGTTCAGTGTGTGTTATCAAGTACATGGCATGCAAAAGCCAGAAGTGAGTGGAAAAGATCCAGAAGCAAAACATTGTAAGACCTTTGTTTTTGTTAAGCACTGTCTGTCTGCACAGGAATTGGGGGCGGGTTCAAATTATTGTAACCTCGAGCATGCAGCCTTTCCAGTGACCTCACTGCAAGAAAACAAGCCCCGCCACATCGTAATCCTGGGAAACTACACAGGCAAGGGTGGAGTTACAATCACAGTTAGGAGTGAGTAACATAAGCAAGAAAATTAACTCCGTGAGCCTGTGACATGTAAATAGGGCAATAAACATTGACAAATAAGGCACCGTCAATTTGAAACAGAAAACAGGCAGGGAAGCACAAATGGAGAAATTCCAGTTTAAATAAAATAGTAGTATCTTATACTTCTGAACATAAAGAAACAATATTTGCATTTATAGGATTAACTGGTGTGATACTGTATTGGCCCGACATGTGAGCAATTATTTATCAATTTCCTCCTGATTCAAAACTAATAGCATGGTTTACTAAGATTCTGAATCACCTCTAATCTGTTTGAAATGTCTGAACTTAGTTTTGTGTTTCCAAACCAAGGAGCAAACATTAAACTAGAATTATACTGTTTAGAAACATTACATGAAGTCAATTAACTGTACAGCACAGGAGGCCATCTTGGCCCAGTCCGTGCCAGTTCTTTTGAAGAATCTTCCAGTTCATTAAACTTCCTTCTTTCCCATATACAAATAATCCCTGCTTCAAGCATTTATTCAATTTCCTTTGAAGGCTATGACTGAATCAAAGGGGACACGACCGCAAGCGATATTATTGCTTGATTATTAATCCAGAAACAGAGCTAACGTCCAGGGGACACTGGTTTGAATCCTGCCATGGAAAGATGGTGGAATTTGAATTCGCTAAGATTCTAATGAAGACTGTGAAACCAATTGTGGGAAAAATTCACCTGGCTCACTAATATCCCTCTGGAAAGGAAACTTGCATTCTGCACCTGGGTCTGGCTGAGATGTGACTGCCCTTGATACCAAGGCCACATTGAACCAAATGTGACATCAAGGAACCTTAACAAAACTGGAATCATTGGGAATCAGGGCAAACTCTCTGCTGATTAGTGTCATACCTGGCACATAGGAAGGTGATTGCAGTTGATGTCAGTCATCTCAGTTCCAGGACATCTGTGCAGGAGATCCTCAGGGTAGTGTCCTGGGCCTAACTATTTTCAGCTGCTTCATCACCTTCTCTCCATCATTAGGTCAGAAGTGGGGATGTTCGCCAATGACTGCACAATATTCAACTTCATTCACGACTCCTCAGATATTTGAGCAGTCCATGTTCAAATGCAACAAGACCTGGACAAAATCCAGACTTGGGCTGACAAGTGGCAAGTAACATTTATATTATACAAATACCGGGCAATGACTGTCTCCAATAACAGACAGACATTCTACCTACCGTCCCTTGACATTCAATAGTGTTACCATCATTGAATCCCTGGGTATCAATAGTCTGGAGGTTACCATTAACCAGAACCTGAATGTGCCGCAAATACAACAGCTACAAGTGCAGATCAGAGGAATACTAGGAATACTGCGGCGAGTAACTCATCTCCCGATTCTCCACAGCCTGTCCACCATCTACAAGGCACAAGTTAGAAATGAGGTGGAATACTCCTCATTTGCCTGGATGTCTGCAGCTCTAACAACACTCAAGAAGCTTGACGCCATCCAGGACAAAGCAGATGCTTCATCCAAAATGTATCCATTCCCTCCACCACTGATGCTCAGTAGCAGCAGCATGAACTATCTACAAGATCCATTAGATATTCACCAATGATCCTGAGGGAGCACCTTCCAAACGCACAAGCACTTCCATCTGGAAGACCAAGGGCAGCCAGTACTTCACTACCTGCAAGCTCCCCTCCAAGCTACTCACCACCTTGACTTGGAAACATGTCACTATACCTTCATTGTCGCTAGGTCAAAATTGTGGAATTCCCTCCCTAATGCCTTTGTGGGTCTACCTACAGCAGATGGATTGCAGCAGCTCACCACCACCTTCAAGGCAACCGGGAGCAGGCAAAAAGGCTAGCCATTGATGCCCACGTCCCATGAATGAAATTTAAAACAAAAAATTCTATTCACCACTCTGTCGGCAATACATTTCAAATTCTAACCATTGATTGTGGGAGATTTCCTTAAATCACCTCTGATTCTTTTGGCGATTGTTTACAGAAATGCATTTGGACATTGCATACTCCAACTCGCCTTACTTGTGCAACATCTGATGAAAACCTTTCCGTTTAAGCAATAGCCATTAAACTTACCACATGAAGTTCCAATCACCTTAAATTCACATCCTCTCATTACTGACACTTCAGTCATTGGAAATAATTTTTCTTTGTTTGTTCTATCTAAACCTTTCATACTTTTAAAGATCTGTCACATCTTCTCTTGACCTCCTCTGTTCTAAGGAGACCTATCCCAGCTTCTGCAGTCTTTCCATGCATTTATCATCCCTTGTCTCTGGAACTATGCCAGCAAATTGCTAACTGTACCTTCTCAAAAGCCTTCCCCACATCCTTCCCAATTGTGGTGCCCTGAATTGTAAAAAATATATAAAGGGTGTCAACCTTGTGTTGTGTTGTGTTGTGTGGTGTGCAGGTTTAGCTTAATCTGCTGGCCTTTGTGTTTTATGCTTCCATTTATGAAACTCTTCATCCAATAGATTTCATTTGGTGCCTTGTAAATCTGAACTACTACTTTCAAGTACTTGTGCACAAATATTTGTCTCTCTCCCCTGTGGCAAATTTTAAATTTGCCATTTTTTTTTTATGTATGGCCCCTCCTAATTCTTCCCTTAAAAATGGATCATCTCTCATGCGTCTACCTCTTCCTCTAAACATGCCCACCAGAAGTTCATTGTATTTCTCACTGTTAGTACATTTCCAAGTTTTGTCATCTGCAAATTTCAAAAACAGTCTTCAAGTCCAAGTCATTAATGCCCATCAAAACCAGTGATCATAGCATTGAACCTGGGGAGATCCTGCTCTAGTCCGAAGAACAATAATTCACAACTGTTTTTGATTGTTTGGGCAATTTTGTACTCACACTGCCTACTGTCCATCGAATCCCATCTGTTTCAATTTTGCTAACAAGTCTGATGAATTGTAATAGGACAAGTTAATTTTAATGAAAGGACTGCTGTCAGAATTATCATAAGAAACTAAAACCTATGTCTTGTCACAGACCATTAATCTGAAGTCTAAACAGTGAGTGAGCATGATGGACATCATAAGAGCACCTTATCCAGTTAAACCATTAGAGGACCTCGTTTTAGGCACTCTAAGGGAATAGAAAATAGAAAATAGAAATGCGGTGGGGTTTGCGGAGTGGGAGGGGAAGAGAGAACAACCTGCTTCCAAATTCACTCGTCATTATAACAAATGTTCAGCCACAGCAGCGTGTATAATTTTGTTTCCAGCTTAGTGTTCATGCAAAGCAGCTCACCTTTATGTTAGTGCAGTGCTTTAAAGTTTCAAAAAAAAAAATGAGCAGTGTGAGTCATTATCTTGAATGGAAGTAAATTGATAGATAGGAACTGATTATGGATATAATAATTGGTTTGATATCAGGGCGAGGCTCACTGAGTACGTTATGCAGGAATTTTCTCTGAAAGACAGTCAGCAATAAAACAACTACTTTGCGCAATCATAGCATTGTTAACACAGCATTAAATACAACTAGCAACTCAGAAACCAGCCATTTGATTCAACCAGAGTACCTCTGCACAGGTCTCCTCCTTTCACATATCAACACATCCTTCCAATCATTTCTCGCTCATGAATTTAGCTAGTTTTCCGTTAAATAGATTCAAACTATTCACACTAATTACTCCATATGATACAAAATTCCATTTTCTACTGAAATTCCTTTCTTTTGAAAACAAAATGGGGAAGAAGAAAGTTGAACAAAACTAGGAAGGACATATGGAAGTGATTGAAATCTTTCGTTGCAGATTGGATGTGGATGTCACTCGTGGGGTCAGCATTTATTGCCCATCCCTAGTTGCCAAGAGGAAAGTTAAGCATCACCCACAATGCTGAGAGTCTGCAGACACAAGCAGGCCAGACCAGGTAAGTGTGGCAGATTTCCTTCCTCAAGAACGTTAGTGAATCAGAAAGCTTTTTACAACAATGGTTACATGGTCGCAATTAGGCTGGCTTTTAATTCCAGATTTTATTGCATTCAAATTTCACTATCTACCATGATGGGATTTGAACGCATGTCAACAGAATATTAGCCTTCGATTCTGGATAAGTAGCATAGTGACATTACCCAAGATATCAAAATCGTGCACTTAGGAAAGCCTTTTGAAGTGAATGTGGGAGGATGTTGAAATAAAGAAAGATGGTGCACAAACTATGCTGCAGAGAAGCTGTGATGCAAGTTCTGTCGCTGAGGTATAACAGACTTGCTGTTGGCTGCCATGGTAAACTCAGCTGGATGAGATTGCAGAAGAAAAGTGGATAAAGTTTCTGGAGGAATGTGTGAATGAGGACAGCCTTTAGGAATGACAAATAGCACTCGGATGTCGAACAAGTTTAGTATCCAGAACTGGTATAGAAATTAGGATACAATGAAAATAACAGATGTGTTTCGTTACCAATAACACCCCCGTAACAGTGAATCAATATTTTGCTATTTCTGATACAAGAGTAGCAAAAGAGCCTGAACCATCATGTCAGCTGATGGATAGTTGTCATAGTTACAGCAGAAACTTCAACTAACACATTATTTTGTACTCTATGAGCAAGTGAACTGAAGTCACCAAAACTTAAAACTATACAAAATTACTGATTCAGACAAATTCATTCTGATTAAGTTCCAGAATGAACAAATTGTCTAGACTTGTAATGCTTCTAATACGAGCCAGAACAATGATGCACATTTTCCCACTCAACCTAAAAAGAAGATAATTTCTCTGACAATTTTACAACCCCATACATGGTGATGTGTTTTATTCACATGGTGCGTTTCATGTGATTTTTTTCACATGTCATACTATGACATTATCTTTA